ACATAGATGAATCTGGAGGGCATCATGCTGAGTGAAATAAGTCAATCACAAAAGAACAAATACTGTATTAGACCACTATTATAAAAACTCAATAAAAGGTTTACACACAGGAGAAAACAATCTTTGATGGTTATGAGGGAGGGGAGCAGTGAGGAGGGAAAATCACTAACTACATAGCAGACAAGTGTCAACTTTGGTGAAGAGAAAGACAACACACAATATAGGGGAAGTCAGCACGACTTGACCAAGGCAAAGTCATAGAAGCTTCCTAGACACATCCAAACACTTTGAACGACTGAGTTACTGGGGCTGAGGGCTGGGGACCATGGTCTCGGGGAACATCTAGGTCAATCGACATAACATGGTTCATAAAGAAAATGTTCTACATCCACTTTGGTGAGTCGTGTCTGGGGTCTTAAAAGCTTGTGAGTGGCCATGAAGATACATCTATTGGCCTCATTCCGTCCAGAGCAAAGAAGAATGAAGAAAACCAAAGACATAAGGAAACTATTAGCCCAGAAGACTAAAGGACCACGTGAACCACTGCCTCCACCTGCCTGAGCCCAGAACTAGATGGTGCCTGGTTATCACCACCAACCACTCTGACAGGGATCATAACAGAGAGTCCCGGACAGAGCAACAGAAATATGTAGAACAAAATTCAAACTCACTAAAGAGACCAGACTTACTGGTTTGACAAGAGACTGGAGGAACCCCCGAGACTATGCCTTCCCCGAACATCCACTAACTGAAGCCACTCTCAAATCCCACTTTTCAGGCAAAGATTAGAAAGGCCTATAAAACAAACAATAACACACAAGAAGAACGTGCTTTTTAGTTCAATCATACACACAAGACCAAATTGGCAACTCCTGCCCAAAAGCAAGACAAGAAGGCAGGATGGGACAAGAAAACTGGACGAACGGACATGGGGAACCTAAGATGGAAGGGGGGGGGTGCTGTCACAATGTAGGGATTGCAAGCAATGTCACAAAACAATTGAGTATAAATTTTTGAATGAGGTACTAACTTGTGCCGTAAACTCTCACCTAAAGCACAATAAATTAAAAAAAAATAAAGTTACTGTGAAATATCTTCACTATTCTATAGTTAATGTCAGTTATTCCAAGACGTTTAATTCAAAACGACTACCTAATTTCTCTATAGCATGTTGGATTTTAAAAACATCCCATTTTCAAAACAGTATGACTTAAGTTTATTTGCCTTAGGAGCTACAGGCCCATATGCAGTGAATCCTCTGTGAGGTTTGTAGAAAAAATGTGCCAAAAGACATACAGGTACAATATTCTTTATTAAAAACACTCAGACAACAGTATAAGTATGCATTTGAAGGATAAATGAAGCCTAGTTGTTATAATCAAAAGCATTACTTCACTCAAACAGAATAGTTTTTATCCGTTTTACACTAACTTGAGCTGAACTTTAAAATATGCCAGGATCACTTAATTTCGTCATGCAGTTCAGTTCTTAAATCATAACAGGGAAAGACAAATTTGGAATGCATGTTATACTTGGCTACATTGATTGAATATATTTACCAAATACTGGGGACACATTCAGCGCTAAGCAAGAGCTTAAAGTCTAGCAAGTGATATTTATAAAAATGCTTTTCCTGTTTTGTCATTGTTATAACCAAACCAAACCTGCTGCCGTCGAGTCGATTCCAACTTCTTAGCGACCCTATAGGTCAGAGTAGAACCAGAACCGCCCCACAGGGTTTCCAAGGAGCAGCTGGTGGATTTGAACCGCTAACCTTTTGGTTAGCAGCCGAGCTCTCAACCACTACGTCACCAGGGCTCTGTTGGTGCTGTGGGGGTATCCACTTCCTTAGAAGACAATAAAAAGGGAGATTCTAAACGCTATGTTCTTGGCTGACTGTTTTGATTTATATGACTGTAAAAAAAAAAAAAAAACAAAACCCAGGAAGTATATGTGTGGAAAAGTGACGTGTTTATAGTTCCAAACCATTGGCAGCTATTAAAACCTCATCTAGCTAAAATACACTTTTCACATCTGAATTGTTTAACAGGAAAATATTTAAAAAGTGGCTGAACAACATGAGAAATGCTCTGGGTGTTGTGAGCAGGCCAAAACATTATACTCCCCATGGGCACGTGATCCTTCCCGTGGCCGTCCCAAGCGTGATTATACTCCCCATGGGCACATGATCCTTCCCGTGGCCGTCCCAAGCGTGTTCTGAACTGCCCACGCAGTTAAATGCTGAGCACGTCCGCTTTGCTAGCTATCCTGTCAGGGACTGCTCTTACGTTTCTTTTTATTGTCTACGTCAAAGAATGGGTACTAAACGAGCACATTTAGAAGTAAAATGAAATACTGTGTTAAATTTTCGATAAAAAGGCTGATGAAAATGCGACCATGCTAAGGATTAACTTCTCATCAATTCTAAATCCTCTGAACTTCACACGTCTCCTAATAAAAGCTCTTGGTGAAACATGGCTGGCGACGACTCATATGTACCAACTTAATAATTTAT